TTGTCAAAAATATTAACAATGTTTGTCTTTTGTTTAAATTTCTCAAACGTCATTAAAGAGCATGAAAATTATACCCATGATTCCTACGGTGTGAATCATATAAAAAAAATTGCTAAGTAAGAGTTGTGAGAATCATGCATGTGATTCTCAATCACATAGACACTCCTAAACGGCGTTTGAGAAATTTAGACGAAAGGCAAACAATGCTAACATTTTTAATAGGTGAGACTAAATTGAACTAAAAAATTAAAGTGAGACTAAATTGAAACTTTAAAATATTATAAGGGACCAAATTAGGATTTTAGCCTTTAAAATATACTAAAATATGAACACTTTGATTTCCTTTGTTGTTCAATTTTAACAAAATTTGATATAAACATATAAAGTGATATAAACTTTCAATCTAACGGTTAAATTTACAAAATTCACATTTAATATAAAGTTATTGAACGGTGTAATACTTAGTAAAAATTATACCGGTATTATTATAACCCTCCTTATTTATATATATAATTTGATCTAATGTATTGGATAAGGTGAAATACAACAAATTAGTGAATTAGATATATAATTCAATCTTATCTATTTTTGACAAACATTCAACTTATTTTATAATTCTTAATTTGAGCCTTAAATATATAATTGTGATAAATATACTTAATTTGTTGTTCATAATATTCTTTTAAACTTGGGCAAAATTTTCTCCCATAAAAAATGGTTGTATTTTTTTAAACCAAAAATTATAAATAACAACAAATACAAAACATTTTAATGCTACAATTTCAATATTTGAAGTGGAGTGAAGTAAGGATAGTTGGACCTACTTAGATAAATTTTTATAAGATACCTTTAAGAGAAGAAAATAATAAAATAAACTTGTCTAGAAATTAAAATTAATTTATACATAGATTAATTTATAAAAAAAATTATATTGATTTTTTTTTTAATTTATGTTCAAGTTAATTTTAACTTGTACATAAATTTATTTTATTTTTATGCTTATTATTTTTTTTCTAAAACTTCTTTAGGGAGAAATTCATTTTACCCTTAATATAATTAACAGATATTTAAACTCTTCAGTTGAAGAGTTGAATAATTTTGAATACCCAGAGTTTGACTATTATTTTTTAGAAAATAAAAAGTAAATTGAAATTTGAAGAAGAAAGAGTGAGGGAGGGGGGACCTTCCTTCAAAACTTTGACAGTGGATTAACAAAAAACTAAAATATAATGATCATTGATTCTCATTGCTCTAAAACATGTGGTTGCTTCGTGTCTGTTGCCCGCACTTGTTTAAAGCCACTAAAATTGTGGTCGGTAGATACGCGGATCTCATTGGACGGCGTGGATTGGATTTTGGTCAATGCCCAACCAATACTTTCGTTTTCTATGCCTCCTTAATTTTATTTAATTAATACCTTTTTTTTCATGAATTTCTGCATGTAACGTTGGATTTAAGAACTTTTGCTAAGGTAGGCTTTTTTAATTAGTTGTTTTGTCAGTTTATTATTAGCTCTCAAACCTCAATAATTTTGTTTACTCTCATAACTCCATTATTATGTTTATGGTCTGAACACAAGTCACCGACCCACCGCAGATCTTGCAAAATCTCTGTGTGTTGCAAATCTTGGTGACAATTTCGCTTGGCCCTCTCTCGTTTAGCCATCAATTCCTTGCTTTATCTTAATCAATATGTATATTTTAGTTAACCGCTTCAATAATTGAGTTAGATACATTAATTCACGCCACAAGATTAAAGTTGGCAAAGAGATTCTTTTCATTTTCTAATAATAAATTTTATCTAAATACCCTAATCTAATGTTTTTGTGTTAGAGTATTTCTTATTTTAAACCTTCTACTTGCATAACTCCAGCATATGGATTGCCTAGTTGGTTTAAGTATATTCCATGTTCGTTACCACCCATAGTGCAGCATGTTTCTCAACTTGGTTATTAATTTGTGAATATGTCTATGGGGACAAACATATATCACAAATTAGTGGAAAATATCTTCATTTTCGATCTAAACGATACTGGATGAAAATACAATATAACATGTATAATTTACTAATTTACTTTTATAAAAAAAAATTTAGTGTAAGTTAATAAATACTTATAACTTTATTAATATACACTTTTTTTTAAGTATATTAATAAATTATAATTTTAATATTTTTTTTAAAATACATTCTAGTTTAACTTGTTAACTTTAACTTGCTTCTTCTAAAATAAAAGTAAGTGCAAGATAATAATTTATATTGATATTAAAATATAATTAAGTTTTGAAAGTTCTTTCATAATTTAATAAATTAATATCAAATAAAAAATTAAATATATAAATTATATATACATATATATTAAACTATTTCATGAATCAAACAAATTAAATTATATAAAATTAATATTTGACTCATTTATTTATCAAACTTAATTTTTAGTTTAAATTCAACTCATTTAATTTATAAACTAAATTTACCAAACTAATTACACATTAATTAAGTTTTAAATTACACTCATTTACATTTTGTTTGACGATTTGTACATATCAATTTGTTGTGTAAATGTGGCCTTATGCATTGCGAACTTCATTAGCACCCACCAAGGCCTAATAAAATCTTCTTTTTTTTTGTATAAAAGGCCTAATAAAAATCTTTTCCCATACACTCTTTTAGTTTATGAATGTATCCGTTGAATTTGAAAGTTTTGAGAAAAATAAATTCTTTCGGATGTGAAAATGATGAAATATCATTCCCCTGTGTGTTTCCAATCACAAATTATTGTATTAAGATTCATTTAATAATATGGGATATAATTGCTATATATGTAATCAAAATGAATATTAAAATATACACACCCTTTAGCAGTGGGACACCACTGAAAATTCAAAGACCAGGGAGCCGCACCGTTTTCCTTTTTTAAAGAGAAGAATACAAAACAAAATGGAAAACACAATTAGAATGAGAAAAATGGTGTACAAGTTCCATTTTTAATTTATTTTCATGAACATTTTGTATCAATCTTCCAAAAATTATAGATAAATAAATAAAGGAAAGAAAGAAGGCAGGTTGCAGTCTGCAGAAGATAGTGTGGGGCAAAGTGGTTTGACTGGACTCTTGTAATTATTACTTAATGTTTTCTTTCTAAAAAAATTTCCCCTTCCTAAAGTATTCGCATGTGTGAATTGCATAACTTGTAAGCCCTAGCGGCAGTTAGAATGATTTTTGTTTTTTAAAATGGAATGTTACCATTTCATCCTTCCTAGAACAATGACAAGAAAACAAGTATCACTTAAATATAAAATATATATAAAAAAGTAATACTGTTTTTCTAGATCATGGAAAATAAAGAAATGTAGAACATGCATGATACATCACACCTTTTCTTTCTAAATCAATGCAAAAGAGAATTATCCATTTGGAGAAAAAGCAAAAGGATATTATAATATTATTCTTGGAAGAAAAAAAATCTTCTCCTCAACCAACTCTACACGTTGCATTCTAATACTATTTAGAGTCAGGATATTTATATATAGTTTTCTTTTTATATTAAATTCATTAAAGATAAAAGAGTTGTATACTGATCTTACATTATTCTACCATATTCTCTCTTTTAAAAAATTTAGTATAACCTTGTTTTTAACACATTCAATACTCTGTCATCAGCGTATTATTTTCAAATTATTCAAGAAATTATCTTTACTGAATAATTGTAATTTTATAAGATTTTACCAAAAAAAAAAACGAAATTTACTCAAATACACCACATAATTAAGAAATTCAATCAAGTAAGAATATTGAAGTAGAAAAGGGAATCAATTATCGCATATTATATATGTTTTTAGTTTTTACAACTGAAAATAGTTCAAAAGAACTGTTTGAGACGACAAATTAAGAAGTTATGAGTTTATTAGTCTTCAAACGAATGAGATGAGTTCACGTTAGGCTAAGGGGCAAAAAAGTAAAAAAAAAAATAATAAGGAGCACCATGCTTTACAACTTAAAAAATGGCATCTAACTATAAAAGATGGGGACACACAATCTTAAAGTAATCGACATAAAAGAATAAACTATTTTTTTAAGGATAAAATTAAAAACAAAGATTCTATATCCCGCACTTATTTACTTCTTTGACTGAAATTCATATAACTTGCACGAGAATAACTGAACAAAGACGGCTAATAGTTGTAAGAAACGTGTTGTCGTAAATTATTATTCATTTTATAAGTTTGATTGATATAACTTTTTTTTGTCTACAAACTTTAGTTTTTAATTGGTTTTGTTTAGATCCCATGTATATTCAATAAAAGTCAATTTTGTTTGAACATTAAAAAAATTATTACGAGTAGAAAATATTTTTCTCCAATTATGTAATGCAGTTGTTTTGAAGTTTGCTTAAACTTAAATGCATACACTTAAAAAATGTGGGAACAAAGAAGAAGAAGAAAATATTGCATCTTTTTCTCAACGATCCCACTCTTTCATGTGTCTAAAAGCATATCTAGTTTCAATGTATGAGATAAAGATCACATGTCCAATTGTTAAATTTACTCCCTTTTGCATTGACTCGGCCGTGTATTGTATTAACCAAGAAAAATCTTGTAGGTCCATATCAAATTGGAGTAATTATGTGTTACTACCAGTTAGTTACCCATTCATGTCATGTCCCCCTTGCAAAAATGCAAAATAATTTCCCCTTGATTAACAAAATCACACGATCACTCTCAAAAAAAAAAAAAAAAACCTCCTATTGAATAAGGAAGCCTTAGTTATATTATATGTGTTTAAAAAATGGCAAATATGAATATGAAAATAAAAAAAAAAAATAAAGAAAAGACGGCGACACCCGGACAACACCTTGAGAAGGGCTTCTATTATTGCCCGTGTCACACGATGGCCTTTGGGAAATAAAATGTAAAAAGAAATATCTTATTAGTTGATTATTTAATATCATTAAATTATTTTAAATTAGTGGAAGTAATAAGAAGAAAAAAAAGAGATATAAAAAGTTGAATAAAGAAATGTAATTTAAAAAGTGGATTTAGAAATAGAGATGAGATGAGAGAGGGTTTTATAACGCAAACGCAATCCGCAATCCATTGATTGATTGAATCTGAGAGATGGGGTTGCAGAACGAGTTAAACGACGTGTGGTCAGGGTCGATTCCGCTGTTGGTGTTGGCGCAGGTAGCGACGTGCGTCAACTACCTCCGCTCCATGCTTCTGGCGCTGCTGCAATCGCTGGGGCTGTGCAGATTCCACGGCGACCAGACCGTGGACGAGACCTTCCTGGCCGCAGTCGGATCGGGCCTCGCCGGCCTCATCATGCTCGCCGATCAGCTCGCCCTCACCAACCAATTCTGCTACGAGGGCTGCGCCGGCGCCGACCACCGCTGCGTCTTCTGCCAGAGCACCCTCAAGGACGGGGAGCAGGTCCGCATGCTCCCCTGCCGCCACGTCTTCCACCGCGGCTGCTTCGACGGCTGGCTCCACCGCTACAACTTCAACTGCCCCCTCTGCCGCTCCCCCCTCTTCTCCGACGACCGCCTCGCCCTCACCCAGCGCCGCCTCGGCCACCAACTCATCTCTTGGTTCTCCCTTCACTGATCCCAATTTTACTTTACCCGTACCCTTACCCTTACCCTTACCCTTACCCTTAGCCTTAGCCTTAGGGCACTTCTTTTTAACGCTATTTTTTTAAGGATTTTCTACTGTCCCACTATCCTTTTTCACCTCCTCTAAATTTTCTACTCCTATTCCTATCTCTTTATGCCCAATAATTCCATATTTTATTTACAAACAAACAAACAAACATAATTTTCTCTTTTTCAATACTTACTCGCTCGCTCACTTCTCATTCACCCTCTACCTTTTCCCATTAACAGCAAAAATTTTAAAAGCTTTTCTGGAAATTGAGTAAAATAGTCAAACGACAAGTTGAAGTAAATAAATGGCCTTGCGCATTTTTCTAAACTGCCAAACAAAATTCTTGTGAAACATGGAATCGTATATACGCAAGTGCAAATTATTGAGTCCTCTGTTATTTTTTTTATTTTGGCCGTTGATTTTTGTTATTGTATTTTTAACTGAAAAAATAATTGTAAAACTACATGTATGTTTGGATTTGTTTTTGTATAGTGGTTTAATTGAAGTGAAAATTAGTTGGGAGAAATGAAAAAGAGGTTGGGAGTGAAATTGGGGTGAATAGTAGTACAGTTATGAATGAGGTGGTGATGACTGATGAGCATTTTCCATTCCAAATTGGCAAAAGGGTGTAGCATAGCATTGAATAAAGAGCATAGGGTGCGTCGCAAGTATCACGTCACCATTAAAAGTGAGTTGAGGTGTCACAGCTACAGACCTACAGCTACTACAGACCAACTTAGGCTGCGATTCGTTCATTAGTTCTGTGGCTACCACTGCTACCATCAAAATCTATTTAACCAACTCTACTTATATATAATTTCCTTTTGAGGAAATTTATTTATTTCTCGCTTAGTTTTTCTTTTATAACAACAACTGTCAAGAGATTTGTTTAGACACTTTAACTGTTGTGTGTATTGGCATTCTGTCATTTCTTCCCATTTTACCAATTTTTTTTTTAAATAAATTATGTGCACTCATAAGTATTATTTTAAAAGCTTTAAAATTTTAAGAAAACATAATTTCACATTGGTCAAAAGAGAAGTTTTTTTTTTTTGTTAAGAATTTATATGTCAACATTTATCTTTAGTTAGTACAAGCACTGAAACAGGGAATGGGCTTATGTACACAAAAATTTGGATTGTCACATGCTTTTTCTGCTATTTTTTAACATTAGCCCCCGCAACTAATCTTACCGTAGAAATATATTTTTTATTTTTAAAATCTTAAGTGAATTATATTCTAATGACTCGTTACAACGTGTAACATGTATATATATATATATATATATATATATATATAT